GTCACGGAAGCCCTCACAGACACCCACAGCCCAGTCCCAAGAGTCGTTCACCTCTAATTCCCAGTAATGTTTGCCGCTGCTAAAGCAGGGTTCTCCCCATGATGCAAAGTAGTCAGATGTTCCAGGAATCAAGGATGCATACAGATGGTCACGGTCATACCTCAAACTTCTCGCGTCTTCAAATAGCCTCGTATCGTGATTGGTTATTACCCTGCTGAATGTCACATTGACTGTCAAAAGGAAAATTCCAGTCAAAACCAATGGGAACAATGCAATGGCCCCTGACAGAAGAAAGAAGGTCTATCTACAGTCTCACCGAAAACAACATTCCAACATTAGAAAGGCAGTTCTGACTGCAGAACTTTGGATCCAGATGTTGCCAACGGACAAATACCTTCTTAAAATGGAAAAAAAAAAAACACCACAAAACAAAACCTTCCTAAAAATTTAGAGATCATGAAGAAGGTCATATGGACTTCTGGCTGGTTACTTTGCACAACACAGGAAAATCTGCCCATCTATGCATCGTCTTCAAGCCCACAGCAATATAACTTTGCTCCACCACCCCTTCTGAGGGAACTAAGGCAAAATTACACTTTAGACTGGATAAATGGTGGTATCCCTTCATCAGAATATCACTACATTCTAGTTACGCACGTTGACACTGAAGAGGAAAACCTAAAGATGACTTCCTAGATGTGGCTTCCTACAAATGTTCTGCCTAGGATATCTGCTTCTACCTGAGGTCTCCTCTTCCTCTCTGCTAAATTAAACCTCTGGGTTTAAGTTTATCATAGAGATCTGTATGGTATGACCTCACCAACCACCAATTTGCTTTATTGCCATTTTTCATAAATTCTTGAATTCTGCCTTGAGGCATGATTTTATGCTTATGCATTTTTCCTCATTGCACAAATGGAAACTAATGCAATTTACTAGGAAACTTTTTAAACCAAAAAGATTTTCAAAGACTAACTGACTGTACTTCCTTTGAAACTGGAGGGTCTTGAATTCACATCTACTTTTCTATGACTGGGTGAACAAGTGACACTGCATATGATAGTTTCTAGGGCTCAGGGTGCCCTCTTCTGGAACACACTCGCTTTCCCATTACTTAAGTAATCTATCAAATGTATAAGTTAGTAGGGCCTGAACCACATATTGACATATGCACAGCTACTCTGGTTTCTCTTTAAAAGACGGCCCACAGAAAACCATGATTGAAGGACCTGACATCGTGGTCTCACCAGTGGGACTGTGGGGCTGACACTCACCTAGGAAGCTGTTGAGCCTGTCCGCCAGCCCCATTATGGGTCGTGCCCTGAGTTGTGGCTGCCCACATGGAGGTAGGTTTGGCTGATTTCTCTTCATCCTGTAAGGAGGAAGATGAGCTTAATCTTTCTGGTGCCTGAGACTTCTTAGAAACACAGTGGTTGACAAAGTCAGCACCCTTTAGCCAACCATTCTTTATCAGAATCCTTTCCTCCACAATCATGGGATAGGACTGTGTTATTCTTGGGGAACCACTTTTCTTCTTTGCCTGCTTCTGCCCACCCCAATCTCTCCTAGGTGCTCTTGCCTCTCTCACCAAATCACTGGGAAAATTAGTCTTTCTGCTTCCGATAGGTATACAACTGTGAATCTAAAACCACATAGCTGGTTCTAGAAACTTCTGTATTGAGCACTTCACTCAGCCACGAGGATAAAAGAAGTCTAACTTCTGATCAAGGGGCACAGGAAATCATATTCAGCAAAACATGCACAAACATGGGCATACATAAGCAACTGGGTATAGTCCAGCAATGCTGTCTTTGCTTGGATAGAAGTGCAGAGCTTGAGCTCTTCCACAGCCTTCACCCTGCCCTAGGTAGCATGGATGTCCAAACTCACCTTGCCAAAGTGTCTCCTAATTCCTGTCAAGAAAAAAAAGAGAAACTTAAGACTTCAAGCATAGGTCATTCTGCCAGTCTTTGGGTTTGGGAAATATCAGGAAAAGTACTAATCACCACCACCACCCCACACACACTGTCATGCTAACCCTTTTTCCTTTTCTTCCCTAAAGATAATCCCACTATAACAGATGGACAGAATGGAAATTCTGGATGAATTTAGAACACTGAGTGTAAAGAGAGGACAAAAGTACCAACTGTGCAATGCTGCAACCCTCAGCTGTCTGCAAAGTAGCCTTTCCTGGGTTTGTCCCCCAAGGGTGGTATGTCCCAAATTAAGGGCAATTCAAACCTAGGACTTCCCTACCGAAGCAGGAAGTAGGTGAGCTTTTCCCAAATTTCCCCATACTTCCTTCCCAATTGGAGACAAGAAATTGGATGTCCACTGAGTAAGTTGTGTCTTTCTGGGTCTTGGAGAAGCAAGCTCAATTAAAGAAATTGAGAAGGGACTATTCCCTGGGGACTCTCCCTAATGAGTCTCATAAGGCTTCCTTGTTCATGGCTAGAATAGGAGTTGCAGTTGATCTAGACTATTCCCAATCAGGAGAGACACCCGCCAGAGGGGCAAGACATGGAAGAATACATCTTTGCTAAGCAGTAAAGCATGGAAGTCAAAGGTGAGCCACAGTTCTTACCTGGAGGAGCTCCCCATCTGGCTTTTGGCACATAGCCACCAGCTCCATGTACATTTCTCGTAGGGAGCTCATACAATTGGTCAGATGACCTTGATTCCTCAAGAATTGGTCACAATCTCATTGCCTTCTTCTCGAAGGCTTTCTAAAGTTTCATTTTCCTCTCTGAGAACTGGACACGGTGTCTCATGAGCAGGAATGACGTTTTCATGTTGAGTCACAAAACACTGCAAGGACATGGGTTAAGTAGACTGAATACTCAGGTCAGTCTCATCCCTGGCCACTTAAGCAGCAACCAGTGTACTCTGCCTCTGGGCTCCATACATCCTAAATTCATGAACTTCCACTTCTCAGAAACCATTCATTCCTCTCTCCATTTGTTTTCCATCCTTTCAAAACTATTCCAAGAGCCAAACCCACACATTCCCTCAAACCACTCGCATCCACCTCATGAGTTCCTGAAATTGGAGAAAAGCTTGTCATTGATATCTTTCATACCCATCTTCTCCAACCTGAAAGACCACAGGCAAGCCACTGAAACGTATGAGTGACTCAAATCATTATGTGCAATATTCTGTTTTCTGGGTTACCTTAGGAAATTTATTTCCAGTCTCAAACCTCCCTCCTCCACAGCCTGGCATTTCTCTCTTCCTTCATGACAATGTTGCAGGATTAGAAGCCCCCAGAAAGGATCTTCCTAAAATCCTCACCACCTGCCTTCAAAATGGATGTCCATCCTCATGGCCCTATCTTCTGTTAGGAGGGCATCTTCCATATTCTTTTCAAGGACACTAATCCTTACTCTTTTGCATCTTTCCACCCGGGATTTATGGGGTCACTCTCTGCATCTCAGCCTTTCCAGTCCTCCTTTTCCTTGGCTTATTTTATTTTTTTAAACGTGTTACATTTTCTCCTATTTGAACCTCTATCGTTCTCTATCTCCCGTACTATCAGTTTTCACCATGAGGGACACACTTGTTAAATTGCTGTTCAGGTTTCCTTTCTATCCCTGGACTCACTGGAGGAATCAGATGGAAATACCCTCAGTTTCCAAGGATATGCTCTTTATTCCCTAAAATGTTTGACATACAAAAATCTCTGCCTGAAATATCTGTGGATTTTTCACATCTACTTGACCTTGAGAACTCGGATTGGCCTTCACCCTGAGGAATTTGTCCTCGGAGCCTGAATAATGGCTACTGAATTGGTCCAGATCATGCTCTGTGCTGCCCATCTTAGCACTTGTTGCACATTCTTCTCATGGTTTTTTGGTAGTTAGTGGTATAGTAGACTCTAAGAATCCTAAGAGGCATGCCACCTTCCACTGAATCGATGGCTGGATCATTTCTCCCACTGCTCAACCCCTTCATAGAATTTCATGACACATGATGATTTAGCTCAAGTTCCTAATGGCTAAGTTCCTCCATCATCTGTCTCAACCTGATTGAGAGGGAAATACACTCTCATACTTACCATCGAAGGCACAGTCATTCTGCCATATTTATTGAGACTCTCCTGGATTCCTTGGATCTTTTCCCATAAAGATCTCATCTCGTCAGAGAGCTTTTCCTGTAAAAGAGCTATGGATTTTAGCACCAGGGCAGCAACTATATTTCAGTTTCAGAACTCCAATGGTGGAAAGAATAATCGAGGGACACTAGATAAATGTACTTCAAGGAGAGAAGGATCATCACATTTGCCCATTTGCCCTCGCTAGTGATCAAATTTTAGATCAAACTGTAGAACCACACAATGTCATGTCATCTGCATGCAGACATGGTCAGCATTTTACTTAGCACAGCCACTTTTCAGAACCTGTGGCATCTTGCATCCCAATATGCTTCTAGCGATGCTTGTCCCCTGCTCATTCCAATGCACTTTATCCCACCTGTGTCCACTGCTGGGAAATATGTAGCCTATAAAAACCCTTTCTGTACTTTTGAAGTTTTCATAGCCAGTGGCTCTTTCTCAAGAGGAGGGCTTTGCAGTGCCTTGGGCATGATGCCTTCTGTCTTGTCAGTTAAATCATGATCATTAACTTAATCACCCTCCCATGAAGAGTAGTAGACTGGTGTCTTCACAGTCTCATCATTGGTACCTAATACCTGGCATTCATGAGAGGACTCAGGAACCCTCATGCTCCTCATGTCCTTACAATCCCTTAACCATCCTGTCTCCACCTTTCAAAGTGCTCCCAGAGCCATCACTTACCCGCTGTTCTTCAATAGCCTCTTCAATAGAATAGTGTCTGTGAGCCTTGTGCTCTGGGGAGTCAGAACAGAGCCAACAGAGCAGGCTCTCTTCCTCTCTACAGAAGATCATCTTTGTCTCTTTGTGGGTCCCACACATCTGTTCCTCAGAGAGCAAGAATTCCCTCAGATTGGCTTTCCTGGCAATGTACACTAGATTCTTAAGAACAATGTTGGTTTTGTACTCTCTCTGCTGGGATGGTTCACAGCATACAGGACATTGGTAAGGGATTTCAGCTGCCTCCCAGAAAAGGTAGAGAAAGGATCTACAGAAGCTGTGCCCACAGCATATAGTCACTGGGTCTGTAAAGGTATTCAGGCAGACAGGGCAGATGAATTCTTTCTGGACGGGTTCTGGTAAGGCCGAGTCCAGGTTTCTGAGGGAAGAGAATTAGATGTATTTATTCCACTGCCCTAGGGAAATACAGAGGCCTAAGCAAAATGTGATTCAGGCGGTGACTCCATAACACACTGGATCTTGAGCAGAATAGGCTTGATTTTGCAGAGGACACAAAATGGAAAGCCAAGCCACAAGAGATCTCTAAGATCTACAGAAAATTTTCTTAGCTGCCTAGCCAACACCATTCACTTCCAGCTCCCCATCCTTTTCTCCTGCATTAAAAGGAAGAGAGTGCCCCAGTCTTGCTGAGGGTCTCACTTTCCTCCAAAGAGCTGGAGATGGAGGAATTTGACCAAATTTGTACCCCCAGGTGGCAGGTACCAAATGCCCCCTCCACTTCCCAAACCCACAAAAATCAATGGTAATGCTCACTGCCATCATTGATTTAGTGCAGGCTATCTGACTAAGCCTGTATTTCTATTACCTCAAATAATTTCCAGGCATTTCTCCTAGCATGTCCTTTTTTATCTCAATCAGAATCCACACCCCAAAACTGTCTTTCCACGATTTCTGAATAGGTTAAGTTAATGAAGAGGAATAGAACATTGTTGAGAGGGGCACAATCCTAAACAGAATCAACCTTCATCAGTAACCATGTTGTGGAACTTGCCCCCCACCAATTTTTGTTATCTATACCACTCTAATGAAACAAATGGCAAATTAAACAATGCCTATCTCTTGTAGGTCTTTAAAATTATTGCCAAGCACCCCTTCAATTTGTCATAAGTTGTAATGAGGTTAGAACTATTGCCTTTTGGGAATCCAGGCATGCACCACTCTTACAGTAGACCATCATATACACTCCAAGTCAAATCAAACATTCCTAAAACCATTTTTAGCATTCACCCAAGTACAAAACTACAAGATAGATACAGCTTGGCAACTATTTTCTGAGCCTTTCTAAGATGCAGGAAACACTAAGGGCTGCATAAAATAAGAGAACTAAAATTAACCTTCATATTAACTCCATATTAACACACATAATGAGACAGGCTAACAGAACAAGGATGGAATCACTTTGGCTCTAAGTAGGCAAACAACATCATTTCACAGATTCCACCTCAGTTTGCCCATCAGGTAAAACTCAGAAATCTGGTTTGTTTTCCTTTAGGAAAGTCTGTTGAAACCTCCAACCCCCTACTGGTACCTTATATACTCACCTGGAGGCCAAGTCTACGGTCTCACAGATGCTTGTGGTAGAAGTGATGGAAGGATGGCAGCTGGATGATCAGGGCTTCCAAGAGGGAGTTTTCAGAGGTCTCCACAGCCAGTTGAGCTCCAAACACACTCCCAGTTGTGGAGGAGAATGAACCTGGCCCCTTGGATCTCCTTATAGTGAGTCTCCAAAGACCACACCCATTTCTTCCAAGTGGCAACATTTCAGAGGTCTTCAGAATGGGTGTTCTGATGCATGATGAGATTTCTTCAAACCAGAGGAAAGGATTGACTTAACATGCTGGCTAATCTCCAAACGGATCTCCCTGTTGTGAAATCCCTGGCCCTTGCTGTGATGACATTTGAGGAGATCTGTTTGGGTCAGGGAGTCTGTTTTGACTGGAATTTTCCTTTTGACAGTCAATGTGACATTCAGCAGGGTAATAACCAATCACGATACGAGGCTATTTGAAGACGCGAGAAGTTTGAGGTATGACCGTGACCATCTGTATGCATCCTTGATTCCTGGAACATCTGACTACTTTGCATCATGGGGAGAACCCTGCTTTAGCAGCGGCAAACATTACTGGGAATTAGAGGTGAACGACTCTTGGGACTGGGCTGTGGGTGTCTGTGAGGGCTTCCGTGACAATTCCTGGATGAGGAACATTGGCCCACTGGAAGAACTGAGTGGCACATTCCTCCTGATGTGTGTAAAGGAGGATGATGGCTACAGGCTCTGGGCCACCTGGCCTCTGTCTCCTGTGTTCACCGAGAAACGTCAGGGCAAGGTTGGGGTGTTCCTTGATTTTGACACTGGAAGTTTGAGTTTTGTGGATGTGGCAAAGCATTGGATCATTTGGAGGTACCACGATGGCTGCTTGAAATCTCCTGTCAGGCCTTTCATGTGCTCTGGCCACAGATGAGGGCTAAGTCAAGAGCCTGACCTGGGACACCCCGGAACCTGGTACCTGAGGGAGCACCACTCCATCAAAGCCAATGAATGTTAGTTGATTACCTTTTCTGCTTTTTCTACTTGGATGTAACCTGCTGTTCAAATAAAGATGTCTTGACACCCACAATTCTGTCACTTCAGTTCCATCTTCTTAGACATCAGAATCTCTTGTGTGCCTTTCATCTAGAATGTGGGTGCCATCATTGGTCACCCATTTTGAGATTGCTGGAGGTGCCAAAACAGATGAGTGTGATTAGAACCTCATGATCCAAACACAGGAACAGGGGGTTTGCACATCAGGTGTGGGCCTGGTTATCTGGGGCGCCCGTGTGGTCTGCAACCCAGTTTCTTCTTCTTGATGTAGTGTATCCCACACATGGATCGATTTGTCTCAGGGTCAAAAACCCAGTTTGACAGGAATCATCCTGACCCTTTGCATAAAGATAGGCCCTTGCTTTAGTGAGCCCCATGTAGCTAGGCCTTTCAGCTTTTCTGTAGTATAAATGACAAGGGATGGAGAAAAGAAGTGCCTCATATACTCAACCACTGTATTCTCAGAGACCAACAGGTTGGCTGCATATCAGGGGCAAGTTCACCAAATATGGGAATGAAGAAATCTAATGATCATGAGACCATGATCTTATCTGAAGGGAACTTTGTTATAAAAGTCAGGGACAAGGAGGGAGTCCAAAGTTCACATTTCCAGGATTTGAAGGCTGGTGTCCAAAACAGATTATACAGGTTGAGTTGACACCATGGAGTTTTGTCTTCAGGAACGTGCATCTGGGTGGGGAGGCGGGAAGTGAAGAGACTGTTTGGCAAGGGACGTGTGTGTGTGTGGTTACACTCAGGGTGGTCATACACTTACTTGCATTGAGGATCGTCACTTGGGCCTTGAAGGATGGGATGGGATGGCAGTGATATGGGGCTACCAAGCCAAGGGTCAGGAAAGAATTCTTAAGACCTTTTCAAGGCCAAAAGATGCTTTTTTTATACCTGGGGGACAGGACCTGCGGGCAGAAGGAACTGCACTGTGATTGTGAGGAGTGACTGATTATATACTTTTTAGTTAGTGGAGGTTAGGGCTCAAGCGAGTTTCTAAGGCATATGTGCCTGTTAAAAGCAAGGTCTCCAGGAATTGGAGGGCTGGCTATTAAGATATGGTTGCTTTCAGTCTCCAATAAAACATAAACATTAAGGCAGCCATGGAGCTCCTTGAAGAATGTCATGCTTGCATGGCTCAGGGATTTATCAGTGGGCTGCAAGTTGGAAGGAGACTTGAATAGGGCTACATTTCTCTTGCCTTTGTTCTCCGCGTCAGGAGGACAGAAGAGCAGTATGTGGACACATGCCCCTTACCGTCTGTCCCCATTTCATCATCACACAAGATTGCATTGCTTTCTGTTTCAGCTGTTCTTGTCCCACGCTGGATTGCAGAGTCTCCATTGTCTTTCCACCACCAAATATACTTGCTGGATATATTGTGAGAAACCAACAAAGTAACCTTGTTGATTGAATCAAGTTTGTGTTCTGGACTAGAAAAGGAATAATGCTGGGAGACATTATAGGCTACCATACTTGGGATCCAGTGTTACTGTGTGGCCTGGAACACGTCACCTAAATGTGACTTTGCCAGTCTTTGCTAGTCCTAAGAGTTTACAGTAACTGAGCACTTACTGCGTGGTTTCCATATAAACGGAGTTCTCTCTTCTTTACATATAAAAACTTTAATAATCCATTATTTCCAATGAAAAAACTGAGCCATGAGATAGTTCAGTGACTTTTGAACTCAGGTGTCAACCTCCAATGTCTGTGCTCTTAACTTTGCCATTGGTTGCTCTCGAAAATACAATTGTCTAGCTGGAGTTTAAATAAAAACTTAAAAAAAAAAAAAAGACCAAAAAAAAAAAAAAACCCCCCACCCACAACCCAACATATTAAAAAATGCTAAATGACCAAAGTTGAGATTTTTTACACCTTCAAAATATGAAAGAAAAACACATGAAGGGGTCTACTACTGTGCATAGTGAATTTAAAAAAATTTTTTTTAAAGATTTTATTTTATTTATTTGAGAGAGAGCGAGAGAGTGTGTGTGTGTGTACGTGAGTGAGAGCACAAGCAGAGGGAGCGGCAGAGGGAGAGGTAGAAGCGGGCTCCTGGCTGAGCAGGGAGCCCGATATGGGGCTCCATCCCAGGACCCCGGGATCATGACCAGAGCCTAAGGCAGACGCTTAACCCACTGAGACACCCAGGCGCCCTTGTGCGTAGTGAATTTGATTTGACCCACGATATTTTGGCTGTGAGTCTCAAAAAAACAAATAACATTTATAGATTACCTTTTATCATGGAGAAGTGACCAATGGAAGATCATATTCTATGGTTTTAAAAATTCATTTATAATTCTGTGATTGAATTATGCTGATGAAATTATGGAAATATCAATTTAATCCAAAACCTCTTCTGTCTTTCAGAAAGGTATAGGGGGAGGTTTATTTTCCTACAGCATCCAAAGAAGAAAATCACAGAAGAAAATAGTTATAGTAGTAGTACTCATAATCCCCAATTATTTTTTTGTAGTGTCCCCACAAGTGGCATTTTCCAGAGAGAAGTGAGAAAAAAGAAAGCTGTCATGCTATATATATCGTACTGTCATGATTATATGTAATATGCTTATTCCAATAGTTCTTAATATAAATAATACCGACACTACAAGAAATTAAATATTTAGTTTTTAAATCCTTGACCACCCCTATCATACAATGTGTACATTTATCTTGTCCTTATCTTGCTGTCATGCTTCCATTCAATTTTTGAGCTGTGTTAGATTGTTTCCTGTTTTCTGGATTGAGACTATCTATTTTACAACTTTTTATGTTGTCATTCTGCTTTTCAATTTTACTTTCCAATTCTTCCACTGAGTTCCAATTTCTGCTATGTCATATCTAATATATAACCCCTACTGCATTTCTGGATGATTCTTTTTAAAATCTTTTATTTTTAATTTTAATGTCTTTAACCATCTCTATATTTTGGGTAACATAAACTCTGTTAGGGTTCTTCGATTCCACGGACTCCAAAATTTCACCTTTTCTGGAATGCCATGTACTTGGACTCATGAAATAAGTAGCCTTTTCAGATTGGCTTCTTTCACTTAGTCATATGCATTGAAGTTTCCTCCATGCCCCTTGCTTGCTTGATCACCACTTCTTTTTAGCACTGAATACTATTCCAGCATCTGGGTATACCACAGCTTCTTTATCCACTCACTACCCGAGGGCATCTTGGTTGTTTCCAACTGGTGGCATTTATGAATAAAACTGCCGTAAACATCCTTTAGTGACTTTTTGGGCACATACGAAGTTTTCAGCTCATCTGGGTAAATACCAAGAACTAAGATTGCTGGATTGTATGGTGGGAGAAGGCTGAGTTTTTAAAGGAACTGCTGCAGTGACTTCCAAAGTAGCTGCCCCACTTTGCATTCCCACCAGCAGTGAATGAGAGCTCCTGGTTCTCCACAGCCTCGCCAGTATTTGAGGCTGTCACTAGTTAGGATTTTGGCCATCCTAACAGATGTGTAGCGGTACCTCATTGTTGTTTGAAGTCCTTTCCTGCTAGCCACGTCTCTTTCATTTTACTTTTTTTCAGCCCCACCCCCACTCCCATCCTTTTTCTAATGCTATGCTTCTTGGGTGAGGTGCTGGTTATTTGTTTCTTTACAGTTACGACAAAGCCCTGGAGAGACTGGTGGCAAGGTCTGCTGGCATGGGGATGGAGGATTTTCAGTAGCGCAAATGAAGCATCCTGATGGTCAATATTAATCTCAACTCAGAATTTGGGCCAATTTTCATTTATTTTTAAGGGTTTGTAAATTACAGAAGGGACATATCCCAAGTGCGGTGTGTTTATCTCATTAATCACACAGGAGAGTAACTTTCTCTTTCTTCTCAGAAACAGAGAATCACACGCACTCGCGGACTTTAACTCGCATGCTGAGTGTTGAGAGTGAAGAACTTTGAGCTCCTGCTGAGGTGTCTGAATCACTGGGACCACATAAGCGGCCCAAAGACCTAGAGATGGCCTTGCCTAAAGGCTAAGATCACTGGTCCAAAGAAGACAGAATGAAGTGACTGGAATGCATGGAGAGTAACCTTCCTTCCAAGGACAGCCACACATTCAAAACAACCCAGTCACAGACCGACTGGGAAGAAGTAGCTGTTAAGGATTTGTCTGGACAAATGTGCAAACTCAAATGGCTGGAGGTTTCTTATCACTTGAGAAAAATTTGCACTGTGACAAGAATGAGTCCTGGAATATTTGAAAGTCTGTTAAAACCAGGGTCGCCTCATTATATTTTTCTACACATTCTTGGCTATTTTCATTGTTGGTTGTCATGGATATTAGCATCACAGAAGTATTCTTACCCTTTATGTATGAAAAACAGTTGGGGTTGGAGAGCATATTTTATTCTTTGATGTCTTACTGAAACATTTCCTTATTTATCAATGTTTTAAAAGCACAGAATTACAGTATGAGAAAATAATGGTGATATTTTCATACCTCTGCTTGTGAAGCATGATTTTATTTTATTT